GATAAGTTGTTGACCTGGTGCCCCATCACTTTCATGTAATATATCATCATTTCTTATAAAATGGGCGTTCTCTTACATAACCACAATAAAGCCATGAAAATTAGGAAAATAGTATTGGTGCATTATAGACATTATTAACGTTTCTCCAATTCTCCCAACAATGTCTTTTATAACAAAAGGAAGCAATTCAAAATCATGTGTTGCATTTGGTTATCATGTGTCTTTAATTTCTTTTGGTCTGGAACAGTTCTTCAGTCCTTTCTTAATTTTCATGACCTTGACACTTTTACAGATTACAAGCCAGTTATTTTCTGCATTTTCTCTCAATATGGGTTTTCTGATGTTTGCTTACGATTACTGTCAGGTTAGTTATTTTATCTTATTTTATCTTATATTAATCAGTTATTTTTATTTCATGTTATCTCCTGTACTGGCTTTTCTGATATACTTTTTTCTACCATTCTTATAGTGGTTATTCTAGAGATTATAATATAAGTCCTTGACTTTACAATTTACCTTAAATTAGTACTCTTACCATTTTATGAGCAACAAAGAAACTTACAACAGTTTAACTCCATTTTCCCTCTCCAGCCATTTGTGCATTTGTTGTCACATATTTCTGTTCTACATATGTTATAAATCCCCAGAAGACATTATTATTGTTGCTTTAAATAAACAACATTCTTATTTTCATAATGTATATGCATATATGAAGTGATGGAGTTTGGATGTGTTGTTCCCTCCAAAACTCATGTGGAAATTTGATCTCCAATGTGGCAGTGTTGGAAACTGATTGAGTCATGGGGGCAGATCCCTCATGAATGGATTAATGCTCTCCCTGGGGGAGCGGGGATTAATGAGTGAGTTCTCACTCTATTAGTTCCTGCGAGAGCTCGTTACTAAAAAGACCCTGGCACCTTCTCTCTCTCTCTTGCTTCCTCTCGCCGTGTAATCTGCTTGTACCCGCTGGCTCCCTGCCACTTTCCACCATGAGTAGAAGCAGCCTGAGGCCCGTGCCAGATGCAGCTGTCCCAGAATCGTAAGCCAAATAAACCTCTTTCCTTTATAAATTACCCAGGCTCAGGTATTTCTGTTATAGCAACACAAAACGGACTAAAATATGAAGTTTAAAAAAACATTTAAATGTGAGTATATATACAAGGCTGTATATGTACATATATGTATTTACACACAAACACACACATTCTTTAAGTGTTCTTCATTCTTCCCAACAGTTCTGTACTATGTTGGATCATTTTATTTCAGCCTAAAAATTTTTTCTTCAGTGTTTCCTGAGGTTTGCTGGAGATCTGTTCTCTCAGTTTTTGTTTGTTTTAAAAAACTATATTTCGGTAGTTATACAATTATATTTTTTATCTCAGCACTTTAACGATCCACTGTCTTTGTTGAAAAGTCAAGTGTCATTCTAATTTCTGCTGCTTTGATAATGTGTCTTTTTCTTTCTGACTTTGATTTTAGCAGTTTGTGATGCTACAAGATTTGGGTTTTCTTTGTATTCATTTGTGTGTACTGAATTTATTAACTCGGTGGATTAATGTCTTTCACCTGTTTTGGAGAATTCTTACCCATTAACTCTTAAATGTTTCTCTTCTCCAAGTAATAAATTACACATATATCAGATTAAATGTATGTGCCCCATTTTATGCTGTTGTCTGTTCATTTTAGCCTTTTTCTTTTTTGTTTGGTTATTTTCTATGGATCTTTTTTCAAGTTTACTAATTTGTTTTTCATTGTGTTCATTTGCCACTTAAAACCATTAAATCACTTAATTTCAGATAATATATTTTTCATTCTAAAATATTTATTTCATTCTTTTTTTAAGATTCTAATTTTTTGTTGATATTTTCCATATTTTTATCTATTTCCCCCATCTTTTGCTCTCTTCATATATTAATAATTGTCTTGAAGTTCTGTGCTAACTCAAGTATATGAATCTCCTGTGAATCAGTTTTTCTTGTCTGTTTTCTCTCTCAGTTTCTGGTCACTTTTTTCTGCTTCATAAATTTTATAATTTTTGATTGTGTGCTGGACATTATAAAAAAAGAATCATAGATACTGAGGATATTACTTTCTACCAGAGAGGATATGCCCTTTTCTCTGTTAATGAGATGAAGTGTCTAATCACCTCAATCATTTCAGGAATTTAACTGTTTCAGAGCTGGATTGGAGCTTTAGTTGACTTATTCTACCCATAGTTTGTCCTAATTCATAGTCTCCCTGTGTTTTTGTTTTAAGCCTCACAGATTTTTGATTCTACAATAATTAAATATTGTGAGATATTTAGTTCAGTCTTTCAGAAGTTTTAATTTAGCTCTTTAGACTGTCCACCCTTGCAGCTTTAGAATACGGCAAATGTTGCAAGGGGGAGACCAGCCATGTATTTATTGTGCGCTTTCCCGATGGAAATTCATCCACTCTTAAGATTGCAGTGATTTTGTTGTTTTTCTCACCTAACCCGTTTGTTGGGGGTGGCCCTTCTGACTTTTGTTTGAGTCTTTAATTCCTTAACTTTGTAAGTTCTCTCCCTTGGACATTAGTTATTTAGCCTCCTGACTTATACAGGTTCAAAATCTGGCAAATGTTTTAAGGGGGAGAGCTGATGTATAGACATACATCAGGCCCCTCAACCTAATGGGGCTTGATCTCTTATGGTGCATATGACGATGTATGTTCGGGAGAAAACACCAAGGAATAGATGCCCCAAACAATAAGAAAAGGACCACTGAGGCCTCAGAGGTATAGATCAGCCAGGTGCTATTCATCAAGACAGTTGAAGAATGACTCCTAAGGCCTTTTGGAGATCATAGGGGCCTGCCACTCCCATCACAAGCCCAGAGTGCAAGGGCCTTTAGGACAGAATGATTTCAAAGGAGAGTCTGCTGGCACCAGTGAGACCTCAGAGCTAAATGCCCGGCACTACCGTTAGACTCTGCTTTGCACACTCTGTCACTACACTCTTTGGCCACCCTTGGTGTGGCTTTGGTGGCTCCAGAACTGTGTGTGATGCACCCAACAAAGCTGTGGAGGTGTAACTGCCCCAGAGCACCTCAGAGCCCAAGTAGAAAATCACTGTGGGGCAGGACCACCAAGGAGAGCCCCACCCCACCCCAGGGTAATGCCCAGCAGAGCCATGGGGACAGGGATGCCCCTGAGACACCAGACAGGTAGAGCTACCTGGGCATAATTGTAGCCCCGGAGAACCTCAGGTGTGTAACCCAGGCACATAGCCATTAAGGACTACAGTAGGGGCCAGAGCCATCCAAAGCCATGGGGGTCAGTCCACAGCCCAAGTGGGCCCAGAAGGTGGGACCTCCACCCCAGTGGGCCCAAGGGACAAAGATAATTCTCAAGTTTTAAGGCTTTGGACTTGCTTGGAGCCTATTTCCTCTTTCTTCTTTCCCATCTCTCCCTTTTGAAATAGGAATGTCTATCCTATGCCTGCCCCACCATTGTATTTTGGAAGCATGTAACTTGTTTGATTTCACAGGCTCACAGATGGAGAGGACTTTGCCTTGGGATGAATCATACCGTGAGTCTCATCCCTCTCTGATGAGACTTTAGACTTAGACTTTAAAGTTGATCCTGGAATGAGTTAAGGCTTTTGGGGCTATTGGGCTGGAATGAATGTGTTTTGCATGTAAGAAGGTTGTGAACTTTGGGGGTCTAGGGGCAAAATGCTATGGTCTGAATGTTTGTATCCCTCCAAAATTTGTATTTTGAAACCTAATCCCCAATGTGATGGTATTTGGAGGTGGGGGTCTTTGGGAGTGATTAGGTTATGAAAGTGGAGCCCTCATGAATGGGATTAGTGCCATTGCAAGAGACGCCAGAGAGCTAGCTAGTCCCTTCTGTTATGTGAGGACATGGGAAGAGGGTGCCATCTATGAACTGGAAACCAGGTGCTCACCAGATACTAAATCTGTCAGTGTCCTGATCTTAGAATTCGCAGCCTTCAGAACTGTGAGAAATAAATTTCTGTTGTTTATAAGGCACCCAGTCTGTGGCATTTTGTTATAACATCTTGAATAGGCTGATAGAGTTGTCATGTCTTCTTAGCCTTCTGTGGCCTACGACAGATCCTCATTCCTTCCTTGTTTTCCATGAACTTGGCAGTTTTGAGTAGCACTGGTCAGGTACTTTGTAGGAAGTCCCTCAGTATGGGTTTGGCTGATGTTTTCTCATTAGAATGGAGTGTCAGGTTTTAGAAAAGAATACCACAGAGACGAATTGCCCTTTCACATCATAAGAGGGAATATGTGTTATCCACATGTCCATCACTGGTGATGTTAACCTTGGTCACTTGGATAAGGCAATGTTTGCCAGTTGTCTCCACTGTGAAGTTACAGTTTCCCCCTTTTTATACTAAAATCCAGTCACTGAATTCAGCCCATAGTCAAGGGGAGAGAGAAAGATTAAGCTTCACCCCCTTTGGTGTGAGGTATCTACATTTGTTAAGCAAACTTTGTCTCTTCTACCTAATTATTTACTCCACTCTGTTTTAATGTGAATTCTCTATAGTCTTGATATATAACCACAACCTTGAAAACTTCTGATTTCCTTTTTGAAATATAAACTCCTTGAGGTAAGGCTCTGTATTTTATCTTTGTGCACTCTATGCATTTAGCACAGCCCCCAACATCATAGTGGACATCCAATGATTTTGCAAAAAATATATGAATATATTTTAACTTCAACTGAGAAGTACCATTTCCTCAGCTAAATTATATAATGGCATCCTAAATTAAAATTAAAAGTAGGTTTTTAAATAAATAGAAGTAAATACATGCATGGTCACATTGTAATAAGTCACATTTCTAACAAAATGAAGTGTACCATGGAAATAACATTTGAGATTGATGTGTCTACAAAATACTCTTTGTGGCTACTTAAGTATTCCTTGAAACCACTTTTGGAAAGAGATTTTGGTTTTTGAAAGGCCAAGGATATGACGTGCCATATCCTTTCTCTTTTTTGTTCAGATCACCAAAAGAGTTTAAGACCGCATTTTCTGGAAAATTGTCATCTGATGCAGTCACTCAGATAACAACAGAAAGTCCAGAAAAGACCATGTTTTCATCTGAGATTTTTATTAATGCCGAAGATCGTGGACGTGAAATGTTAGAGCCCAGTACCCAGAAGCTACACAAAGTTCCTGTTAAGTTTGCTTCATCATCTTCTGTCCAACAGATTTCTTCTTCTCGTGGTAGAGATGGTAAGAGAATGTGATTGCATTTTAGGTCATTATACCAACTTCTACATGCAGTCATTTTAGAAATTTGTGATTGTGTCTTTCTAGTCAGAAAACCTAATTTTAATTTAGAATTAGGATCCACATAATTATACCTGTCTTTTACTTACATAGTCATAAAGAGAATACGATTTATTATATTTTTATTTTAATTTCTAGTGGAGATAACAACATGTGTAGCTCATGCCGCTTTTGGGTGACTTATTTTTGTGTCATATTTGCAATAAGAATGCAAGGAACAACTTAAAAATAATCGAGGTCTCGGGCCGGCCTGGTGGCGCACTCGGTAGAGTGCGGCGCTCCCGCCGAGGGTTCGGATCCCATATTGAGACTGGTCCGCTCACTGGCTGAGCGCGGTGCGGGCGCTACACTGAGGGTTGTGATCCCGTTGCCGGTCGCGGTACGGGTGTGACACCAAGGGTTGCGATCCCGTTACCGGTCACGAAAAAAGACAAAAAGGAAAAAAAAATAATCGAGGTCTGCATTTAGGTGGGCATATAAATTATTGGCATCTTATAGTAATATCACATATTATAATAAATAGATGTGAAAACATATAGTAGTGCAAAAACAATAGCAGTTTATTTCTTGCTTGTGAAATAATTACCAGGGACCCAGGTTGACTGCTTTCCCTGCTGTTTTTAAAATGTGGAACCCAAGATTATCTTGGATTTACCATCACAGTGAACTGGAGGGAACAAAGAACATGAAGGAGAGAGCATATAGGAGGTTTTTATAGGCCAAGTCTGGAAGTGACCTAAATCACTTTCCGTTGGCTAGGAATATGAGGATACTTCAAAAAGTTCATGGAAAAATAAAAGATAATACAAATCTTTCCATGAACTGTTTGAAGTACTGTGTATAGTTTAGCTGTGTTGTCCAAGATGAACAAACAGATTTTGTTGAACAGCTAGCAGTCTCTACCATAAGGTCTACATTTAGAGTGTTTATATGCTGTAGTTTCACTGCTATTTTGATAGTGCTTATGCCATATAACATTCAGAATTTGGGTAAATTGTTAATTATTTTCTTTTTCAGGCAAATAAGAAAAATTAACAACTAAGTTAATTTCCCATATGAATGTGGCAACTTTACTAATTTTTAAATATTTAATATTTTGCACAAATCTACTCAAAACGTATTTTAAGTTTCCTACTTAGGCAAAAAACTTATCTATCTGCAGATGTAGATGAGATATGCCTAATTGTAAAGAAAATTGCTTGGTTCAGCATCTAAACTGCATTGAATGCTTATTTATAAAAATGTAAATAAGTACATTTATGTATTAAGATGGTTATAATTCTTGAACATTTTTATTGTGAAATAAAAGCATGACATATATATATATATATATATATATTTTAAAATTAATTATCCCAGTGGATACCTTTATGTGTCAGTTACCTATTGCCACAGTGATACTATATAACAAACAACTTGAAAAATCTCAGCGGTTTATAATAACAAACATTTGTCTTGCTCACAGGTGTGAGGGTCAATTGAAGTTTGGCTGGGTTTGACTCTAGGCTGCAGAAATGGTATGGGTTTCTTCTAAATGCTTCTTTCTGAGACCTAGGCTAATGAGACAATAGCTGTCCTGGGGTGTGTTCTCATGGTGGCTGAAACACACGAGGTGAAACCCAGCTGTAAAAGTGTATTTTAAACCTCTACTAACATCATATGGATCAACCTATACAGGCCATCATCTACGGTTTTTATAAACTTTCATTAAAGGGTTGATATTATTTGGTTTACAAATACAGTAATATTTTTAATACTGTCAGTCAAAAGTAAAATTTTTTGAGGGTTTTTTTTGGGGGGGGGTATGAAAACATTTTAAAATATGAAGTATAGTATATTAAACACATGACTATTTACCCACTACTCTGAATTAACAAGTTCAGAGTAATGTGCTATATATGCTTATATTTGGTTCTATATTCAGTTTTTTGAGGAAAAAAATTTTATAGTTGAACTTTCTTCTTTACTCCTCTCTAGTCCTTTTTTCTTTCCTGGAAGCAACCATTATTTGCTATGTATTCACTTCTTCCCCCATAGGGAGACAGTACAAAGTAGCCTTAAGACTGCTGCATCCAAACACAAAGTTGTGGAGAAATTCAAAAAGCCACTTATCTGTCTCTAAATTCTTTGTCTGCAGTTAAGAGCCATTCCTGCTCTGGGTCCACTGTAATTCTGCCCAATTGCTGTTATTAATTTTATGCAAATTGTGAACTAATTGGTAAATTTAACCATCACTGTAAAGCTTTCTATACACTGATGGTACAAAGAAAATTAATAAATCAGAATTCTGACAATCATGACCGTAGCAGTGACCAAATAGAAGTGAAGGCTACAGGCTTTTTCTTCTCTTTGTTTTTTTGTTTTTTTTTTGTTTTTTTTTTTGCCTGATGGAGTGGGACATATATTCCCAAGTTATCTGAGATTTTACTAGGCCTAAGTGTATAAAGTTAAGGTCATTTTTGTTCATTTCTGTCACCAAGTATGGTAAAGTGGTTCCGTAGGTGTTAGTCATACTCTTAAAGACTTCTTTTTTTTAAGGTAGCTTATTTCTTCTTCATAGTTATAGGTTTAATCAAGTCAGTCATAGATTTAATCAATACTATGCATGCTAATCCATATATTACTTTAGTGATATAAAAAATGTAAAATGGCTAGATGGCTCCTGTCCCCTGTAGAAGTGTCCCTCTCTTATTTCCAAGATCTTTCGTGTAACAAAGATCAGAGTTACAAAGATTGAAAGCAAAAGATTCTAAAAAGGTTTCTAACTTTGTTCCGAAATGCACGCCTTCTGTCTGGTACTTGGGATAAGCAAGCATATACAGTGCAGAGTGTATTTCATATTCTTTAAGATAGCATTCCAGCCTCAGAAAGTAGTGCCCTATAGCTTGTGCCATAACAGTTATCAGTAAATTGCTCACTCACTTTGTTAGGGTTAGCATAATTGTGGGTGATAAGGCATGTGATGAGAACAGTGAATCCCTTTAGGCATCAGTCTTTTGTATTATTTCATTCACTACAAAGTGAGTTCCTTTGTTGGAAGCAGGGTATTAACAATATGGAATTTATTGCTAAACTAAGTCATCCAACTGAGGGAACTGTCAAGGATGGTAACACAATTCTGTAATATAAAGATTATTATTGTGTTCAGAATGAAGGATGCCTTATTCTATTCCAGGATTATTAGAATCTGGCTAGAGCATTTTGATTCTTATGAAATAGACGTGGGCAACTAGAAGTCCATCTAGAAGTGGTGATAGGATGTGAGAGAAAGCCATGGTCTGTAAGGATAAATTGAAGGAGTTGGAAGTTATTCCTATGAGTAGTACAATCCCATAACATACTCAGAAATAACCTAAACAAAAATTTTATCTGACTAATGCAGGCAATACGAATTCTTTGTGTAGAAATAGAATAGTTGACTAAATAAAGAGAAGGGTATGTTTCTGGATGGGAAGGCCAAATTATGTTTATACTCCAACATAATTCTGCTCAAAATTCTAATGGAATTGCTCTTTTGGACTTCATTAATTGATCTGAAAATTCATCCAGAAGAATAACAAAGAAAATTTGGAAGAAAGAAGAGTAACTAGTTTTCTCTTATTTTCCACAATAGAAAAAAATAGGGATTAAATAATGTGTTATTAAAATAAATTTGTTACTTGAGGGAGAAGGGGAATGGTAGAACTTGGCACTTTACCTCTAAACATACAAAAATTATTGTTTGATGACTTTATATTTTTAAATTTATTTAAATTTTCACAATAACTTTAAGAGGTAGATATTATCAAGCCCATTTTGTAGGTGAGGCAAAAGAAAAGAGTAATTTGTTCAAGATCACATAGATAATAAGTGGGACTCCCAGTGGATTTAAAATTAGTTGACTCATTGTCTACTGAGTATGTGTTAGGGTATAGGATAAACTATTTTTGTCATAGAAGCTCCAAACTACAGGTAGGTGGTCTAGAGCAGGAAGCTGTGCCCCATGTGTGGTGACTCTGGCATCTTTTCAGTGCGACTTCGATCTCTGAGTCCAGGGTAGCTGCTACAGCTATCATAATCTGCAGTACCTAGGAAGTGGGGGGCTTTAATGAGATGCCCTTACATGGAATACCTGGAAGTTTCATATATTCTCACACTCATCTTATGGTCCCAAATTTAGTTGTATGTTCATATGTGGCTATAAAGGAGATTAGAAAATATGAGGGAACTTCAAAAGGTTCATGGGAGGATTGGTATTATCTTTTAATTCAAATTTTCCATGAACTTTTAAAAGTCCGCTCAGATAGTGTAAATAAGAAAAGAGGGAGGAAGAATGGATATGATGGGACATTTCCCAGTTTCTGCCCGCCATTAAAGAAAAACAGGTATATAGAAAAAAGTTCAGCCTCTTTAATAATTCAGTGAGGGCCGCTCAGATAGTGTAAATAAGAAAAGAGGGAGGAAGAATGGATATGATGGGACATTTCCCAGTTTCTGCCTGCCATTAAAGAAAAACAGGTATATAGAAAAAAGTTCAGCCTCTTTAATAATTCAGTGAGGGCAGATTTAAACAATTAGATTCCATTTACCTGTTAGCAAAGAATAATTTCTTTATGATTGTACATGTGCTGTTGGACATGTACAGACACTTTAGAAAGCAATTTAGAAGTTAGTAATTTTTTTTAAACTTGATAAATGGTACAATTTTTCACTCTGTAATCAGAGAAGTTACCTGAGATGGGGAGCAGAGGAAAACAGTATGGTATAAACAGGAAAATCATATTCACAGAATTGTTTATAATTGAAAAATTTAATTCAACCTAAATTTTCAGCATTAGGAAAATGGTTAAATATGTGTAATCTATGGAAAATTGAATGTGAATAGGAAATAAATTGAATGTTTTTATTATTAATGTCAAGTAGAAAAGCTCGATTGGTATGTTAATTGTTTACTGCATATCTCCTTCCTCTAGAATTCCAGTTCCTCTTGAAGGCAGAGATACATTTTTGTTTAGTTCACTCATATATTTCAGGAATCTTGAACACATTGCTTGGCACATGTAAGTCACTCAGTGTTTGTTCAATGAATTAATAAGTGTTTTCTTATTAAATGTTCTGATCTTTACCTCCTTAGCCCAGCCTTTACTGTTGCCATATAAGCCTTCTCGTAGTACGAAGATGTACTATGTTCCACAATTAAGAAAAATTCCTTCATCTCCGGATTCCAAATCAGACACCACCATTGAAAGCTCACATTCAGGTATTATGCAGAAATTTTCCAAAATTCTATTTGTGTGTTGGCTGATAATTCTGTAATGACAAATGAAAGTCCAGTGCTCTTTAATCTTTCAGTGAGATATGGAGCTTTTTATGCCTTGATCTCTGGTTCAGATAGGTGAGTTATTTGATCAGATACATATACACATAAGTGTTTAATAAATATTTGATGAAAAACATTGCATGGACAATTGTTTGGATTAGTGGACTCAATCTAGGGCAAAGGTATCCACGCTTTCTCTGTTTACAGTACCCTTAGTGTTTTGTTGATTTTTTTCTTTTTTCCTTCTCAGCCTTATGTGTGAGGAGTCTTCAAAAAGTTCATGGAAAATTCATATTATAAAAAAATCTATTCAGATGGCTGGCCAGCTAGCTTACTTGGTTAGAGCTGGTGCTGGTAACATGAAGGTGAAGGATTCGGATCCCCCATGCTGGCCAGCTGCCAAAGGAAAAAAAAAACAACAACTGTGGATTGCAAAATTTTTTTGCACCAAAATAAACTCATACCTATTTGTTATAACATATCTGAACAGGATCTAGTTTGAGGCACTAAGGAAGGATAAGACATCAGTTCAAAAAGAACCCCTATCAGAGCAACATGAATTCTGCTAAAATTGAAGTAAGAACAAACATTGAAGTTGTGGTAAAGCTTGGGTGGAAGAATAGAGACATCATTGATGTTTTACGAAAAGTTTATGGGGACAATGCCCCGAAGAAAGCAGTTTACAAATGGGTAACTCGTTTAAGGAAAGGAAGAGACGATGAAGCCTACAGCAGCAGACCACCCATATCCATTTGCGAGGAAATACTTAATCTTGGAAAACTTAATTGAAGAGAACTGAGGATTAACAGCAGAAACAATAGCCAACACTGCAGACATCTCAATTGGTTCAGTTTACACAGTTCTGACTGAAAAGTACTGTTGAGAAATAGTTTATATTTTTTACTTTCATTTTTTAATTTCAGTTTTTCACGAACTTTTTGAAGGCCATTTTTATAACATATAAATACAAAGTGTTTTTTCAAACAGCTTCTAAGGTATAAGGACATAAGTACTTACTGTTTTTTTTTTTTTTTTTAAAAAGATGACCGGTAAGGGGATCTCAATCCATGGCTTGGTGTTGTCAGCACCACGCTCAGCCAGTGAGCAAACCGGCCATCCCTATATAGGATCCAAACCCGTGGCCTTGGTGTTATCAGCACCGCACTCTACCAAGTGAGCCACGGGCCGGCCCTAGTACTTACTGTTTTGATCTAACAACTTAGTAAAGAAAACTATCAGTTATTTCCTTTTGGTTTGAAAAAAATATTTGTTTAGAAGTAACCATGATTACTTATTAATGAGATATGTGCAGCAATTGGACACTGTATAACTTCTCAGACTGTGAGAAGAGATTGGACACAGCCACTCTCATTTCTTGCTTTTTGTTACATTAACTGCCAAAAATCTACTTTGCAAAGACTCAACAGCCTTAAAAGGAACATAGCACTATCTGATGTTGACACTTTGAACAACCTTATGCTAGTAGCTTATTGACAACACCAGATATCAGATATCTAATGTTGTTTCCCTAGAATTTTAAAATATCCTGCAGCATCCCTGTGAGTTCACTGCAGGGCAACTGCAGTCTTAGGAAATGAATAGCACCCCATGGAGGAACTCAGTAAATATTTCCTATGGGGATTTTCAGGTAAGGGTACTGAGCTGATGTAGTGCTAGATTTTAATTGATGAGACAGTATGCTGAGTGGTACACAGGAGGTGACTTGGTTCACTTTAGGCAAACTGTTTTCTTCATAATTTGTCCATAATCATCTTTATATGTGTAGAAATTTCAAAGAAAGGAGAAGTTGTCTCTTGTCTTCGGCAGAAATGAAGAAATTTTCTCTCCCTGCAAGTGTCTGATTTTTAAAACATATTTAATGGCTATCCGAAATAAAACAGCTCACTTAATTGATTGTAGATTGGAAAATCTTTGATCCCTTTTATTCCTAGTTTAGAAGGCAGAATGTCTGTAGACAGTTTAAATCTGGTCATGGGTTCCAGTTCTTTTTGAGGCCTCTAGTGTCCTGTTATCCATTCACATCCCTCACACTTCCATCTAGTTGGAGACATTAACTTAGAGAAAGATTGGACAGTCATGGGTAGTGGGAGGAGAAAATGACTCAGGGGTGTGGTTGTACATTGTATCCTGAGAAACGTTATCCCTGTAAAGATAATACTGAATGCATCAGTAAGACAAAAAGGGATTAGTAGCTATTACATACTTGAGTTTGTGGTTTTCATGGTCACCATCTCTTCTGAGAGTGAAGAAGTTTGGAATAGAAAACAATCCTTTCTTAGACCAGTAAAACTACACTAGATGAAAGGCTAAGGATTTATATAATAGCCATTGTCTATCAATATGTTTTACGTCTATAGATATGAGAGGATCCAATTAGAGTTTAGGGCCAAGAGCAAGTCATATACTATTGTTAGCAAACAATGGGGCCAAATAAATTGCCCCTCAATTGAGAATGAATAAGTAATCTTTAAAAAAAAATGCAAACAAAATACACAGGGCAAAGGAAGCAACCTCTCTAAGATGTTAGAAATTTACTTGTTAGGCCCATTTACATTCTTAAGTAGCATACAAGAATCTATTTGTATTGCACAAGGAGCTCTGTGAAGATATGTCTTTTTTTTTGTAAGCCTTTTTGTGCTTCACACTGACACTCGTTATAGACATTCAAATACTTATATATTAATAATCACTGTCAATAGGAGCAAAAAGCCATAGAGAGAGAACTGGCTGATATTTTTAAAGGGGGTGGTGGTGGTGATGGTGGTGGTGGGAGTTATAGCAGCAAAAAATGGTGGAGTAAGGACCTCCAAAAATTTATCCCTCCATAAAAGCAACAAAAAAGACTGAAAAACTGTTCAGAAAACTTTTTCAAAACTATCAGTAAGAACAGGAAGCCTTGGCATTTTAACTTGCCCTAGTTCCATCCCCAGCACCCCAGGTCAGTAATAGCCTTGAAAAATAACAGCTCTTTCCCGGGACTGCAAAACAGAGCTGGACCTCTTTCTAAACTTTATTCCCAAAGAGTTGTCAATATTTGTTTGACCTGTCTGGTGGTTCCATGGAAGACTCCACTTAAGAGGCTTGTCTTTACTTGACCTGACTGGGAGGTGTCCAGTACTAAAAGCCTCTGCGGACTAAGCGGGGAAGATATTTGTCCAAAACATTTACAGGCAAGTATTTTTATGTCACGGTGTCTGAGGCAAAGGCTAACAGTTGGAGCAAACAAAATATTAACCAAAAAGTTTAGAAGGAAAACCTGAGGATGAGATGTCCATAGATGCTTTGAAAAGCTTTAATGTATTTCTGGGACTCTAGGAGACCACACACATGCATAGGCTAATTTTTTCAAAAGTGTTTCTCAATTCGTGTCTATATTTGCATTAATTGTATCACTTTCCCATTTTTCTGTAGGATCCAATGATGCTATTGCTCCAGACTTCCCCACTCAGGTGTTAGGCACAAGAGATGATAACCTCCCAGCCACTGTTAACATTAAACATAAAGAAGGGATCTACAGTAAGAGGGCAGTGACTAAGGCATCCTTGGCAAAGAGGAAAAAACCCTTTCAAAAAGACAACACAGGTAAGTGGACTGGCTTTGTGTATCTTGTGGCTTTCTTCCCCCCGCTTTTCATGGTAAATGAGAAAAATTTTCTAGTCTTTATCCTTTTTCTACTTTGTTATGCAAACTTTTCTCCTTGCTATTATATTAGGCATTAAAAAAGGGTGAAATATCTATAAAATCCTTTAAAATGCTTCAGAGATTTTTGAAAACTCTAAACTTTATTTTCACCATGTGAAATAAAATATAATGCACCTTGCTTTTTTGCTTTTTAAAAAAATGTTTATTTTTGGCAGCTGGCCAGAGCAGGGATTGAACCCTGGACTTGGCGTTATCAGCACCACACTCTAACCAACTGAGCTAACCAGCCAGTCCCTTGATGCAACTTTTGAAATGAAATAATACCCAATTGAGTATGCTTTAAAGACTAAAATCCATAGATAAACTTAATTAAATTGTCTCATGGATTTATCTCTGCCAGATGTTGCAAACTCACATCTAATAGCCTATAATCTGCAGGGAGATATGTGGCTAACAGGATGTTTTAACATTTTTTTTTTTTTTTTAATTTTGCTGCTAACGTTTAAAAATGAGATTTTGGCTTCCCTTGAAAAGTCAGGCTATGTTCAGCGTACATTCCTCAATGGAAATAGTTAGCTGCAGCTGAGTGTGGCTGTCCCCTGCAAACAGGACATCCGTTCTCCTGTGTGCTTCAGTCCCTACAGCTGTCAGGCCCAGTCTGATTCATTCATTCACCTTATTTGGTCACTATGGGCTTTGAGTTTTCAACCTTATCCCTAGATACAGGCCTCTCTGTTTTATAAATGCTTTTAATCTTCAGGGATCCACTTGTTTTTTTCCTTCTGTATCACTGACATTGTACTTCTTTTGTTGATATATAATCACATTTATTAAATGAAAACTCCAGTGGCCACTGAAAATTCTATAGATGTAATTGCCTTTGTTTGTTACATTTACATTTTTCATTGCTATACATAGCTATTAGCCAAAGAGGTGCTACAAATCCCAGGGCAGCTTTCAAACCATAGGGTGGCTCTGTGTTCTAGTTCTGGCATAGTGTTCATGACTTCATGTGATGGCATCAGTGCCTTTGTGAGGAAAATGGATGAAAGTTTCCTTACTAAAGCACACAGATTTATTCTTTAAGGTAATTTTTGTTGTACTGCAAAGCATGTTGAAGTCTATTTATAAATGTCTTTTGAAATAACAGAAAAGAAGCATATGTGCCATGTAATATTGAGGAAGCCAAGTAAATAAAAAGGAGAAATATTTTTACAAAATATAGTTCATAAATGAAAACCCTTATGCACTAGGGAATCCCTTATCTGTTTGCCATTACCTATATGCTAATGGCAATTTGGTCAACACAGATAACCCTAAGATTTCACTGTCAGATATTTCAGGAGGAGGTAGATATGGAAAAATTGGCAAGGAACAAAGTGATAGACAAAGTGAACTCTATCAGAAATCTGCACAAAGAACTCACCAAGCTATACTTCACCCTTAGGCTTCATTTGGTAAGGATGGTATGTTTGAAATAAAGTCAGTCTTTGTTATCTGAAGACTACCAGAACTTCTCACTTGTTAATCTATTCCTAGACTTCACATCCAAAGGAAAGGCCTTCCTGGTTCAATCCTTTGTAGTTATTTCACGTTGGGGGAAACGCTCACCTTAGAATAGTAAAGAAAAGATAGAGGGGAGAATACCTGCCTGGGAAAATTGAACAGTGACCTATATAATAGCTGAGTGGGCCCATAAAATCTGATGTCAGAAATACAAATCTCAGTGGAAGGGTTGGAATATAAAAGTCAGAAAATCTCTTGGAAAATAGAACATAAATATAAAGGAAAAGAAAGACAAGACTTAAAAAATTCAAGATTGTTTCAAAAGGTTCAACATACACAAAAACAGGTGTTCCATAAAGATAATAGAAAAGAAGGAATCAAAGGACTAGTATAGGAATAAATCCTAGAACTAAAGGATATGAGTTTCCATATTAAAAAGGACTATCATGTACATAAAAATACACACCAAGGCATATGATGTTGAAATTTCAAAACACCGGTTAGGTAAAAGATTCTAATAGCTTCCAAACAGAAAACATAGGTCCCATATGAAGAAATGAAAATAAGAGTGATATCAAACTTTGAAAACAATGTATGGAGCTGGACACCAAAGGAGTTAATGACTTAGAATTCTGGGGGAAGATTATTTCACCAAAACATGAGAGTCGACATATTTTTTTAAAAAAGAGGAAAACATGGGATTGAGGAAGTGAGGGGCCAACACAGGAGAGAGAGGAAAGGAATTCCCATTGTGGCAGTGGTACAGAAGACCTAGAACCAGTTCAGACGGAGTACTACAAGAAAAAGTCAAATTGGTGGAATACGTTATGTGGTTGATTGCATTTAGAGGACATTTTCTGTTCTTTTACAACTATAAAGATGAAGTAGGGATTGGTACACAGAAACTTAGAAAATGCAAAAACAAGGCAATTTTAAAACTCTTCAGGAAAAGCAGGAATTTGTAAAAGGAAATAAATGTAATTACACTGTACTAGCTGGCTTAGCTGTGAGTAATAATTATAAAACACAATCTCATGTAGACAGTGAAAATTGATTTAGTCACTATGATGACTATTTACATGATATATAAACATAAACATTAGTATAGGGCTAAAACTTCAGAAGATGGGTGAAGGGATATATGTATGGTAAGAGGGTGTTTTAAAAGAGGTAAATCCATATTGATCATAGTAGGAAATCAATAGATAATTTCTGGAACTAAAAAGGATATGTCAATATAAATCAGGTTATTTTATTTATTTATTTTTTTAAGTAACCACAAACTATTTATTTTCATACATAACCAGAATGCTTAAAACATTTCATAACAACATTATGCACAAGTTTATTAAAACTATAAATAAATGATGGAATATAAAATATTTGGTAAGTTACGAGGATGAAATTATGGGTAAAACTACTTAATTTCTTCTAATCGTATTTTAAGTGTGTATATTATAAATGGTTTTTTGGGATTTTTTTGTGTGTTTTTCCCATTATTAAATAATTTATTGACTTTGGGGATTGTTTCATTACATTGCCTTTTGTAAAGTCAAATGCAATTTTAAAAAATTGGTTATGAATATTCATGAGATACAAAGCTGATTGTCACCACTCGTGCACTAGATATGATGGCCAGATCCATACTTGCAGCATGCCCTTTACCACAAATTGCGATTATATACTGTGTCCCCCACCCCAATTATCCCCAACCTCCCTCCCCATCCCCCCTTCCCCCACTCTACTTTGTATCCCTAAGTATTAAAGCATGTTATTTGGAAATAAGGATATTGATACTAGAAGTGGCCGTAGGAGTTGAAAATGGTGGCCTTTAGAAACCAGGGATCTGCGATGGGGTGGGATGAGGAACTGCTGACTTTTGTTATAAGCTTCATGAAATTATTTGACTTTCAAAACATTGTACAAATACTAACCAGAGAAAAGCTAGTGAGCAATGTTAATATCAACAAGATAGAATTCCTGGCCAAGAAACATTTAGTTAAGGCAGTTTACTCACAATAGTAAAAGGATCAAATACACCAGGAAGATAAAATTATGAGCTTATTCACATATTCTCAAACTTATATTTAGGAAAAATAACAGGAATGTATAGGTAAATTCAACAATACATATCAGAAACTGAGAGATCAGGAAAAAAAATAGAGGGAGGATTTGAAAATAGAATTTAAAAGTTTGATTTATAATAGAGAATTTTGCATTTTTAAAAGAATACATGGAATACTTAGAAAAATTGATGAAATTATTGGCTTCAAAGTATTGATGTTCAGACAGACCAGCTTCTTTGACTGCAGTGTAGCTAAATTAGAACTCAACAATGAAAATATGTATTAACAAATCAGAACAAAAACCTGTCTGTAATGGGTTGAATAGTGTTCCCCCAAAATTCATTTTTACCCAAGTCTTCAGAATGTGGCCTTATTTGGAAAAAGGGTCTTTGCAGATGTAATCAGTTAAGGATCTCAAGATTAAATTATCCTGGATTTAGGGTTGACCCTAAATCCAATGACTGGAACTCTAACAAAAGGAGTAGGGAAGATCATGTAAGAACAGAAGCAGAAGTTGTAGTTATGGGGCCGGCCTGGTGGCGCACTGCTACAGTGCGCCGCTCGGGAAGCGCGGCGGCGCTCCCGACGAGGGTTCGGATCCCACATGCAGACCGGCCGCTCACTGGCTGAGTGAGGGGCGGGGGCAACACCGAGGGTTGCGATCCTGTTGCCGGTCCTGGTCCGCTACGGGCGCGACACTGAGGGTTGCGATCCGTTGCCGGTCACGAAAAAAAGACAAAAAAAAAAAAAAAGAAGTTTTAGTTATGCTGCCACAAGCCAGGAATGGCAAGGGGCCATTAGAAGCTGAAAGAGACAAGGAAGTATTCTCCTCTATACACTTCTTAGGGAGTGTGGCGCAGCTGATACCTTGATTTCAGACTTCTAGCCTCCAGATCTGTAAGAAATTTAATTTCTTTTGTTTTAAGCCACTCAGTTTGCAGTAATTTGTTACAGCAGCCCTAGGTACTATTCATCTATTTGAAAATTTTAAAATGTAATTCTAAGTAACTCAGAAGTTAAAGAGAATTATAATAGAAATTACAGTGTATTTAGAGCTGAATAATAATAAAATTCTGATATAAAAAATTATGGAAGATAGCCAAAGTGATATTTAGGGGTAATGTTACACACTTAAAGACAAATATTTAAAAATAAGAAAAATTCATTCAAAATCTCAGCAGGTATTTTTTCCCCAGAAGTTAGCAAGGTTATCCTAAAATTGATAATACAGAATGCCAACTATAGCCAAGGCAAACTTGAAAAAGAACAAATCTAGAGGATTTATACTACAAAATATTAAAACTTATTATAATGCTGTAGTAATTAAGACAGGGTAATACTAGCACAGGGATAAACAAACTGACCATAGAGCAGAATATTCCAGAAACAAATTCACACATATATGGATACCTGATTTATGTTAAAGGTACCTCTCAATACAATGGGAAAAGGATGTTTTTTCTTTTGTAAAATGGTACTGGAAGTTGATTATTCATATCAGAAAAAAAAAGAACATTGACCCCCTTCCTCACATTATAAACAAAAATCAATTCCAAATGGATTGTAGATCAAAATTAAAAAGGCATAGATAGTCAGATAAATCTTCTAAGGGAAAATGGAGAAGTATGTCTTCTTAATCTTAGGACAGGAAAAGATGCCCCCCAAGCCCCCCACCCCCCAGAAAAAACAACCACTATAAAGGAAAATATTGAGAAATATGGCACATTAAAGTAAGAAATTGTATAAATTATAAACACCAAATAAGAGAGTAAAAGGCAGGCTACAGAGTGGGGAAGATATTTGTGATACGTAAGTCACAATACTGTGTTAATAAGAATGTGGAACAAGCAGACTCATTCACTGCTGGTGAGAGTGTAAATTGGTATAATGACTTTGGAAAGCAGTTTGACATTATCTACTAAGTTACACAAAAGCGTAACCTATGACCTAACAGTTCTGCTCCTAACTGTATACTCAACAGAAAGGGATGCACACAAGCACCAAGAAACATATACACAAATATTCTTCACAGCAATATTTGTAATAGCTCCAAACTGGAAACTACCCAGATGCCCAGTATTTATCTAGCAGAATGGATAAATTGTGACCTTCTAACATTATTGAATACTAATAAGCAAATGAGAATGAGTGAGGGATAAATATTTGTAACAACACTTAATGAATCTTGCAAACAGTGTGAGAAAGGAAAGCAAATCACAGTAGAGAATGTGCATAAAGTTCAGAAATATTCAAAACTAGTCTGTCATATTTAAAATCAGGTGTTACCCTCAGCACAGGGGAAATGGGAAGGAAGAATAACACAGGCGTGTAGTCAGTCTTCTAGCCAGATATTATTTCTGACCTGGGTAAGGTTATACACGTTTGCTTTTTGATAATTCACTGAGCTCTACATTTGTGAATTTTTCTACACGTTGTCTACTACACAATAAAAAAGGTCTTTTAAAAAGTTAATTAAAAAAAAGCTACTTAGAAATTAATCTTAAAAGTACATGCAAGACTATTGAAGAGAAAATTACAAAACTACGTTGAGGGCCGGCCCGGTGGTGCACTGCTGTGGTGCGCCGCTTGGGAAGCGCGGCGGCGCTCCTGCCGAGGGTTCGGATCCCACATACAGACCGGTTCCCGCTCACTGGCTGAGCGAGGCGCGGGAGCAATGCCGAGGGTTGCGATCCGTTGCCGGACACAGAAAAAGACAAAAAGGAAAAAAAAAAAAAAACTACATTGAAATATATTAAGGAAGAACTAAATAATAATTGGAGAATTATATAATTATAATAATAAATTAAAGATGTCAGTTCGCAGTAAATTAATTTCTAAATTCAATGCATTGCTACTCAAAACACCAGTAGGAACTTGACAGGCTGATTCTAAAATTCTTATGGAAAAATCAAAAAGCAGATTTAAAGAATAAGGTAAGGGAACTTGCCACGCTAGACATCATGACTCAATATATATATAACTTATTTAAGACAGTATTTGCAAAGAAATAAACAGAAAGAAAAATGAAATAGAATGGTGACCCAGAAACACAATTTAGAAACAATATATACAGAGATGGCAAAACAATCCATGGAGGAACAATGAATATTAACTATTCAATAGTTTTTGAACCACTGATTATGTATGTAGGAAAAAATAAAATCAGGTATACCCCTACTGCACACTAAACAAAAATGTATTCCAGCCATATTAAGTGTAAAAAGGAAAACTAAACTTTAGAATTTAGACAGTCTATCCTTGTGACCTTGGGAAATTAAGGATTTCTTACATAAGACATACAAAGCATGGACCCTAAGGGAAAAATAAAATAAATGTGGCATTATTAAAAGAAAAATTTTATGAATAAAAGACATCATAAACAATTGAAAGACAAGACGTAAGAGGCCGGCCCATGGCTCACTTGGAGAGTGTGGTGCTGACAACACCAAGTCAAGGGTTAAGATCCCCTTACTGGTCAAATTAAAAAACAAAAACAAAAACAGGATAAGACAGACTGAGAGAAGATATTTTTTTTTTTTTTTTTTTTTTGTCTTTTTTCATGTCTGGCAACGGATCGCAACCCTCAGTGTCGTGCCCGTACCGGACCGGGACCAGCAACGGGATCGCAACCCTCGGTGCTGCGCCCGCACCTCGCTCAGCCAGTGAGCGGGAACTGGTCTGTATGTGGGATCCGAACCCTCGACGGGAGCGCCGCCGCGCTCCCAAGCAGCGCACTGTAGCAGTGCACCACCGGGCTGGCCCCGAGAAGATATTTACAACTCACACAACCCACAAAGAAATTTTACAGGAATATTTATTGCAGTGCGTTTCAATATAAAAAAATTGGAAATAGCCTTAAGTTGATCATCAGGTGAATTGGTATAATAATATGATAGAATACAACATAACACTGAGAATCAGTTAATTAGAGTCACATATATATGTGACTAAATCTTAAAGTCATAATATTGAGTTAAAAAGGCATGTTGCTTCAAGGTATATATAGTATTGTGCCCTTTATATAACATTTATATAATATAAATAAAACAGTACTGTACATTGTTGATTAATATATACAATGTAGTAAAGACTTCAAAAACATTCGTGAGATTGATAAACTCTAAATTCAGTATTAAGGTTGCTTATCGAGGAGTGAGAATGGCATCATTGAGACTTCACACAGGAAATCATTATATCTTTATTGTTTTATTTAAGCTCTGTGGTAGATATCTTGGTGTTTATTATGTTACTTATACTTTTGGTATGCCTGAAATATTTCATTAACATTTAAAAAATTTTTTAAATGATCTAAAAATTTCAGAACACATTTAGATCAAAGAGATTAGGAGGATTGGAGTAGTAGAAATAAGGAAAATTAATGAGTTTTTAAAAAAGTGGTAGCATGATAAACAAAACCAAGACTTGGTTGTGATTTTTAGTAATCTCTGTTGGCTTTTTTATTTCTTTGTTGAAAAATATTCATACTTAGAGATAAGAAATGAAATACAGTGAAGAAAAACAGAAGGAAAGAAAAATAGAAAGTATTACATAAGTTTAAAAGGATAACAACTGCATGCGTTTTTTTAGATTATCTGAGAATGCTATATAGAAAAATCTAGATAAGTGCTTTTCTTGGATAGTATGACATACCAAAATTGGCTTCATAAGTGATAAAAACTTTGAATAGAATAGACAAAAGAATTTTAAAGCTTCATTCAAATTTACTTTTTTACTTTGAAACACATACTGATATATACATTTTTATTTACTGTTGCATGTAACCATCAAAGAACTGATTTTATTTAAAGTATTTTTATTTAGATAAAGTTTTATTTAAATTGTGGTACACAGAAGAATATGGAAAGCTTTTCAATTCATGTCACAGTTTTTACATAGTAGACCCTGAGGTGCTTTTTTCCTAATTTATAAAAAGGTTGTGTGTGTGTGTGTGTGTGTGTGTGTGTGTGTGTGTGTGTGTGTGTGTGGGAGATAGGATTACTTTACTTTGTTTTTTATCTTTTCCTTCACTCTGGGATCAAATGATGTCATTATTCTAGATGCCTCAGTTCAAGTGTCCATCACTGGGGATGAGAACCTCTCAGACAAAAAACAGGAGGAAGAGGAGATCTACAGTGAAAGCGCAGTGACTAAGGCTGCCCAGCCTGAAGAAAAAGAATCCTTGCAGAAAGACACTGCAGGTAGTTGAATTGGATTGTTTGTGTACTATTTTCTTCTGGTCTTCTATAATGAGGCTGTTCTCCTAATAATATAAACAAAAATGTATTCTCTATTCTCTTCTTGCTATCCTCAACTGTTCTCTATCTTGTTCGTATGTGGAATAGTTAAGGTATTTTTAGCTACATTTTTGGTATGCTTTGGCAGGTAAAATTGACATTCTTAAAGCTCTTTGAGGTATTTCTGGAGAACTTTTGAATGTAGTGCACAAATTAATCTCACTGCCAAAAAATCACTTAAAGGACTCATTTCTGCTGATAAAATGCTTTAATACCATGAGATACTGACTCTCTAATACCATTGTTGTACATTAGCCATTATTCTTTAGGAATCCAACTTACTTCCTAACCACCTATCCAGTTATTTTACTTCAATGGGACTATATTGATTGAAAATGCCAATGATAGTGTGTTTAAGTTGGGGTTAGTTTTCACTTTGAGAGATGAAAACAAAAACAAAATAACATTGGCTTAAAGAAGAAAGGAAATTTTTCTTTTTCTCATAAAAATCCAGAGGTTGGCATCCAGGGTTGATGTGGTGCTCCAGTGTGTCAGGGAACAAAGCACTCTCCTGTTGCCCTAACATTTTTGGCCTCCATTCTCAAGCTGTAGCCATCAGCTCATATTGCAGCCAGCTCAAGGAAGGGAAAGAAGCAGCATATTCCTTGCTTTAAGGATACTTCTCAGAAGATACGTGTACCATTCCCTTTCCATCCTATTGGCAAGACTTAGACACATGGTCATATCAAGCTAAATTGCCAAGGAGACTGGAAACTATAGTCTTTATTCAGGTAACCATGTGCTCAGCTAAAGTTATTATATTAGAGGATAGCTGGTAGTTTATGCCATGATTGTAAACTAGGAACATATTGTAGAGCATAATTAGTCACTTTTTTTTTATGTATTGCTTTTTAAAAAATGTTAGGTTGTATTTGGGGCAACACTTCAATATTTTTACCCCCGTTTTTGTTGTTGCTAAGTGAATGTTCCAGAAACAATTTTGATCATGTTAGTCTCCTAATCAAAAACTTTAGTTTTTATTGCTCTGTGAATAAAATCTAAACCCATTTATCATAGTCTTCCAGGACAGTAGAATCGGTTGCCAAATAACTTTTCGAATGCTAGTTCTCATCTCTTTTCCTTATAAATTTTATAATCAAATAAACCATCTACTTGCTCTATGTCTTAGATACTCAATTGTCTTCCTGACTTCATTCTTTTGTTATGTAGTCAACTTTATCTAAAACACCTTTCTCTTTCTATCTAATTGTGTATCCCATCTTAACTATATTCTACCGCTTGAATCATTTGTCCAAAGTTCTTCCTTTTTTTTTAAAAAAAAGTAAGTCATAGAATTTATTTTATAGCAGTTTTAGGTTTACAGAAAAGTTGATCAGAAAGTACAGATAGTTGCCATACCCTCTTCACGCGAGCATACACAGTTTCTCCTATTACCATGTTACATTAGTGTGGTTTGTAATGATTCTGAGCCCATATTGGTATATTATTATTAACTGAATTTTACATTAGGGTTTCCTCTTTGTATTATATAGTTCTATGGGTTTTGCCAAATAATATGATGTATTCATCATTAAATATTATACAAAACAGTTTCGCTCCCCTAAAAATCATCTGCGGTCCACCTATTCATCCCTTCCCTTCTCCCTACCTCCTCCCCTGAAATCCTGGCAACCACTTATTAAATTTTTTTTTCACCCCGTTACCTCAAACATTTATCATTTCTTTGTGTTGGGAACATTCAAAATCCTCTCTTCTAGCTAATTGAAACTATACTATAAATTGTTGTTAATTACAGCCACCCTTCAGTGCTAGAGAACACTAGATATGATTCCTCTTCTCTACCTGTACTCTTCTATCTTAAACCAACCTCTCACTATCCTCCCTCCTACTTTTCCAGCCTCTGATAACCACCATTCTGTTCTCTCTCTCTCTCTCTCTCTCTCTCTTTTTGGTGACTGGCCGGTACAGGGATTAAACCCTGGACCTTGGTGTTATTAGCACCATGCTCTAACCAACTGAACTAACCAGCCAATTCTCTATTTCTATTCTCTATTTATCTAACCAGCTATTCTCTATTTCTATGAGATCAACTTTCTTGGCTTCCACATGAGTGAGAACATGCAATATTTCTCTTTCTGTTCTTAGCTCGCTTCACTTAACATAATGTCCTCCAGTCTCATCTATGTTGCTGCAAATGACAGAATTTCATTTTTTTTTACCGCTGAATAGTATTCCCTTGTACATATATACCATATTTTCTTTATCAGTTCATCTGTTGATGGACACTGGGTTGATTTTATATCTTTGGCTATTGTGAATAGTGCTGCAGTAAACATGGGACTGCAAATATATCTTCGATATACCGATTTCCTTTCCTTTAGATATATACCTGGTAGTGGGATTGCTGGATCATATGATAGTTCTATTTGTAGTTTTCCAAGGAAACTTCAGTCTGTTTTCTATAATGGTTCCACTAATTTATGTTCCACCAACAGTGTGTAAGGGTTCCCCATTCTCTGCAACCTCGTAAGCATTTGTTATTTTCTGTCTTTTTGATAATAGCCATTCTAGTTGGAGTGAGATAGTATCTCATTGTGGTTTGGGTTTGCATTTCCCTGATGATTAGCAATGTTGATCATTTTTTAAATGTACCTGTTGGCCATTTGTATGTCTTTTGAGAAATGTCTATTCAGCTCACAGGCCCATTTCTTGATTGGATTACTTGGGTTTTTTTTTTTGTTTGTTTGTTTTTTACAGATGACCCGTAAGGGGATCTTAACCCTTGACTTGGTGTTGTCAGCACCAAGCTCTCCCAAGTGAGCTAACCGGCCATCCCTATATAGGGATCCGAACCCATGGCCTTGGTGTTACCAACACCACACACTCCCAAGTGAGCCATGTGCCGGCCCCTTTTTGTTGTTTTTTTTTTTAACTGTTAGGTTGTTTCAGTTCCTTGTATATCCTTGATATTAATCCCTTGTTGGATGCATAGTTTGCAAATATTTTCTCACATTCTGTAGGTTCAGTCACTCTGTTGATTGTTTCCTTTGCTGTGCAGAAGCTTTTTAGTTTGATATAATCCTTTTTTTTTTTTTTAAACTTTTGTTGCCTGTGCTTTTGAGGTCTGCTTCATAAAATCTCTACCCAGCCCAGTGTCCTGAAGCATTTCCCTTATGTTTTCTTCTAGTAGTATCATCGTTTGGGGTCTTACGTTTAAGTCTTTTGGAAGAGTTTGAAAACAGTTGGTATTAATTTTTCTTTATATGTTTGGTAGAATTCAGCAGTGAAGCTATCCACTATTGCGCTTTTCTTTAATGGGAGATTTTTTATTACTAATTCAATCTTGTCATTCATAATTGTTCTGTTCAGGTTTTCTATGTCTTGGTTCAATCTTGGTAGGTTCTATGTGTCCAAGAAATTTATCCATTTCCTCTAGGTTTTCCAATTTGTTGGTGTATAGTTAATAATATCTAATGATCCTTTATATTTCTGTGATATCAGTTGTAATGTCTCATTTTTGTTTTCAATTTTATTTGAGTCTCTTCTTTTTTTCTTTCTTTTTTTTTTTTTTTGGTTAATTTAGCTAATGGCCTGTCAATTTTATTTATCTTTTCAAAAACCATCATTTTGTTTCATTAATCTTTTGTATTGTATTTTTGGTCTCAATTTCATTTATTTCTGCTCTGATCTTTATTTCTTTTCTTCTGTTAATATTGAGTTTGGTTTGTTCTTGCTTTTCTGGCTCCTTAAGATGCATTATTAGGTTGTTTACTTTAAATCTTTCTACTTTTTCATTTTCTTTTTTTAAAAAAATTTTTGGTGGCTGGCCAGTATAGGGATCCAAACCATTAACCTTGGTGTTATATACACACTCTAACCCACTGAGCTAACCAGCCAGTTTTCTAGTTTTTCGATGTAGGTGTTTATTGCTTTAAACTTCCTTCTTAGTACTGGTTTGGCATACATAGGTTTGGGTATGTTGTGTTTCTATTTTAATTTGTTTCAAGAAAAAAAAAGTTTTGTTTTTTTTTTAAAAGATGACCCGTAAGGGGATCTTAACCCTTGACTTGGTGGTGTCAGCACCATGCTCTCCCAAGTGAGCTAACCGGCCATCCCTATATAGGGATCTGAACCCATGGCCTTGGTGTTATTAGCACCATACTCTCCCAAGTGAGCCACAGACTGGCCTTTGTTTCAAGAAATTTTTAAATTTCCTTTCTAACTTTATGTTTGACCCATTGGTCATTCAGGAGCATGTTGTTTAATCTCCATGTATCTGTACAGTTTTGAGACTTTCTCTTGTTGATTTCTAGTTCTATTCCATTGTGGTCAGAGAAGATGCTTGATATGACTTTTATTTTTTAAAACATTTGTTGAGATTTGTTTTGTGACCTAACATATGGTCAACCCTGAAGAATGTTCCATATGCTGATGAGAAGAATGTGTATTCTGCAGCTGTCGTAAATGTTCTGTAAATGTCTGTAAGGTCCATTTGGTCTATAGTGCAGTTTAAATGTTTTAAATATTTCTTTATTGATTTTCTGTTGATGATCTATCTAATGCTGACAGTGGGATGGTTAATTCCCCAATTATTATCCTGCTGGAGTCTATTTCTCCCTTTACATATAATAATATTTGCATTACTTGTGTATATCTGGGTGCTCCAATGTTGGGTACATATATATTTACAATTGTTATATACTGTCTTGCTAACTTGATGCCTTTAGCATTATATAATGACCTTGTCTCTTTTTACAATTTTTGACTTGAAGTCTGTTCTGTCTCTTATCATTATTGCTACTCCTGCTCACTTTGGTTTTTATTTTTGTGGAATCTTTTTCCATCCCTTCACTTTCAGTCTTTGTGTGTCTTTACATGTGAAGCGAGTTTCTTGAATGCAGCATATAATTAAGTCTTGTTGTTTTTATCCACTTAGCTAGTGTATATCTTTTAATTAGGAAATTTAGTCCCTCAACATTCAAGGTTATTATTGTTAGGTGAGGACTTACCCTTGTCATTTCGTTGATGTTTTCTGGTTCTTTTGCTTGTTGTTTCTTTCTTCCTCTCTTATCATTTATCATTGCAGTTTGGTGATTTTCTATGGTGAGAAAATTTAATTCCTTTTTCTTTTCCATTAGTGAACCTGCTTTACTAATGTGTTTTATCCTTTTGCATGTTTTCTTGACAATAATTATCTTCCTTTTGTTTCCAGATCTAGGACTCCCTTGAGTATAATTTGTCAGTCTGGTTCAGTGGTGATGAAGTCTCTCAGTTTTTGCTTGTCTATGAAAGCCTTTGTTTCTCTTTCATTTCTGAAGGAAAGCTTGGCTGGGAATAATATTCTTGGCTGGCAATTTTTTTATTTCAACATCTTGTATAAATGATCCCATTCTCTCCTGGTCTTTGAGATTTCTGTTTAGAAATCTGCTATTAGTCTAATGGGAATTCCCTTATATGTAACCTGACAATTTTCTCTTTTGCTCTTTGTCTTTGACTTTTGACATTTTGACTGTATTGTGCCTCAGAGAGGACTTTTATTCACTGAATCTATTTGGGGACCTATGAGCTTCCTGGATTTGGATGTTCATATCTTTCCAAAGACTTGGGAAATTTTCAGCTATTATTTCATTAAGTAGGTTTTCGATGTCTTTTTTTCTTCTTCTTTGGGAATGCTCATAATTTGAATATTTGTTTGCTTAATGGTATTCCATAATTCCTGTAAGCTTTTTTCACTTTTTAATTCTTATTTCTTTTTTTTTCCTCTGGGTAGTTTCAAATGAAATATCTTCAAGATCAGAAATTCTTTCTTCTGCTTGCTGTAGTCTGCTGTTGAAGCTCTCAGTGTATTTATTATTTCCTTCATTGAATTCTTTAGCTGCGGGATTTTTGTTTGGTTCTTTTCTATGATATCTAGCTCTTTATTAAGTTTCTCACTCATATCATAAATTGTTTTCCTGATTTTTTAAATTTTATTTTATTTTATTTATTTTTTTATTTTTTATTTTTTTTCTTTAAATTTTTATTTTGTCGATATACAATGTGGTTGATTATTGTGGCCCATTACCGAAACCTCCCTCCCACCCAACAATGTCCTTTCTGTTTGCTTGTCATATCAACTTCAAGGAATTGTAGTTGTTATATCTTCTCTCCCCCCCCCCCCCCCCCCCCCGCTCCCCTTGGGTTTTTTTTTTGTTGTGTGTTTTTTTTTTTTTTTTTTTTTTTTT